TACATATGTACATTTTAATGCTATACATAAAACATGGCACACACATGTTGAATAAAATGATTTCTGTTGAATTAGTATGAGACTTGAGAAAATGTAACTAAATGGGACATACTTTGAAAAAATTGCAAGCATATAACATATTCACAGGGATATAACATCCCACCAGAACATACATACAAGCAAAACTGGAATGTGTAATTCACATGTTTCATGTCCTGCTATAATTAAGATACATATGAAAAAAATGTAGAAAAACCATTACTGATAGTTTGAAAAAACTATATGTCATTGATAAATAATGACATAAAATGTTTTGTGAATTGTCTGGTAACACATACAGGTATTTCAAAGTCATTTTCCCAGCAAAAAACTACCTAACACTAATCCCTTCATTTAAAGCCTTAAGCTTTCATATTAAGCTTTTGCAGACAAATGACAAATCTTCTCCTCTACATTAAAGATATACGGCAAATGTCTGCAAATATTTAAATAATAAACTGAGATGGATTACCCTACACAGTCAGTTTTAAATTCAGATTAAAAATTTACTCTAAAATATAGAGGGTTAAAATTTCAACAAACAAAACTAAAATCCCAGATTACTATGTGTACAAATAATATATCCAGTATTTCTATATTATTTTGCTATTTATTTTGCCCTTATATTCAAAATGCTAGGAAAAGTAAAGAAATAAGACTTTATTAAAGAAATTAATTAGCTTAAAAACTGAATGAAATTACAGATCACTTTTTTGAAAAATGCTTTAAACATATTAAAAAAAATAGTAAGAGATAAAATCAGTAATCCCAAACTAATTCTTCTAGATACTATACTTATCAGAAGTAACATTTTATAAAGCATTTCAATATTTATATATTTTATCTGCTTTGGAAAGTTATTGCATAATTTAATATTAAAAAAGAATAGAAATTGCAAATCGAAGGCAACTGCCATCATAAATACAATGAACTATAACTCCATGAATACAATTAAGATCAGAAATTATGTTTTGGCATAAAATCTATGGAAATTCATTGTCAGGTATGCAGATAATAAAGTTAATGCTATGAAGATTAAACAAATTAAAATCTAAAACAGGAAACTTGATTCTATGAATATGGAAATACTGAAGAACAACGAAGTTCTAAAATATAGAAAGTTACACAGAAAATAACAAAAGTAAATATATACATATTTAAGACAGCATTTTAAATAGATAAATCCAATAATAAAAGTTTAATATAATTCCAAAAGATTTTTCCAATATAATAGAGAATTTTAAAGCTCTTTCTTTCTCTTGATTTCGTTTCTTTCGGAATTTTTTGCACATTAAAAAACAGTTAATATATTTATACAGTAGTTTCTTAATATATTGCAACATTTTGGTAATCTTATATTAATTAAAAATGTAAATAAATATTTACATAAATGTATAAAATAGTAATTTATGTATGCTCTATCCTAGAAAGTTGATCATTTCTGTTTTACTTCAAATTGAATACTTCCTAATTCAGGTTTTTATAGATGTTTTTAACTTTTTCCATTTAAAATGGCATATCATATAATTTTGAGCTTCTTAATAACTTACAATAATAATCAGGCAATATATTATTATTTTTCATAGATTTTTTCAAATTTTATTTCTCTGCGTTTTTTTTTAATAATCACCCCAATTTGGCAAGTTTATAACCTAATTTAATCATCACATCAAATTACTTTAATATCAGGAAAACTCAAACACTATAAAATTAGATACTTTAATTAAGTAATGATTATAGGAAAATACACAATTACAATTTTATATTTAATTCAGTTAGTGGGTATACAAGCTAATCTTTTCTCAGTTCTGCACATTAATCCTTTCCACCTAGCTATATGATAAATTAAGAATTTACTTAGCCTTTACCTAAATTTTTCATTGTACATAAGAAAATATACATATAAATTAATACCAATTACTTTTGATTTACGCTTATTTCTCTTACTGAGTTTCTAATCCAGTGTTATGAAATTAATTCCTTTTAACTGGTATTTTTATGTTTATGAGAATTAAGATCAGAAATTATGTGATAATTAGTCTTTGAGTTTAGCAACAGTTACAGAGTGAGACAAGGCAGAGTGATAAGTTCAAAAATGTGCATTCAATCTAATGGTGTGGTTCTCAAACTAGGACAAAAGTGTATTCAATCTAATGTTGTGGTTCTCAAATTAGGCACAGAGGTATAATCATAGCTTTGAAATATATGTGAGTAGCTATCAATAGTATGGAGCAATTTAAGAAATTACACAAGAAAATTAAAAAAGGGGGGGGGACTAAAAATATAACATGATGGGAAATTTTCAGGCACTTTCTCCATTGATTCCCTGACATTCTCCAGTAAAACTATTCTGTTCATTTAGTAGTTATGGATTGTAAAGCATGTTCTCTGAATATTTTTAAACTGATGATCACAAATAAAATAATTTACTTTCTGAAAGTTAATAAATAAATATGAAGACTTACACAGAATTATTGTGAGGTAATTTTTCTCCCTTCCCATATTGATTAAAGTTACCAAATGTTTGAAAGGGGTAGGGAAGAAAACGCAATCTGTTAAAATGTAATTACATGAATTATTTTTTAATTTAAGATAGACTTAAAAAAGTACAATAAAAGGCTAAATTTACAAGAGGATTTTCACATGAAAGGCTCAAAGGGACAACTGTATAAAGTATAAAGCCATGAACACAAACCTCTATCACTACAGAAATTTATGGATATATTATTTCTTAAGATTAAAAATTAAAAATAGAAAAATTAATCTTCAGTTTATTAAGTAATAAAGTTTTGAACAAAATTCTGGAAAACATTTTAAAGGTATTTTAATATACATTTTATAGTCACCCTTTAATCAACTAGTTGTTTGTTCTCAATAAGGGATAATTTTAGGAAAGTAATTTTTTTTAATGAGCATTATAATGCACATTACTCATTGATTTACAGTATTATTTTCAACTATGTCATCTGAAAACTACTAGTTTAACCTTTTTAATTTATCTTACCAATTGAAATCCATATGGCATCACGTTAATTCTGTACATCATATTTTTATTTATTTCATAAATTACATTATAAAATAAAGCACTCCTAAAATGAAATTTAAATTAGTTCTCAGTTTTGTAATATGATTTATTACACTTTTTTACTTCCTTGTACAAAGTAAAGGAAGTATTGTAATCACGAAAAATTCCGGATACCATATTTCAATGAAAATATCCATTTTGACCACTATCGAATGTAATTTATCAATATTTTTGCATTACATCTGTACGTGAGAACAGAATAAAGGACTCTTTTCCCCCAAATAAATTACAAATCGAACTTAAAATGGATTCAAAAGAGATTTTTTTCGTGGAGTCTGTATATACATATATATGTATCTCACATAACTCAAAAACGAATAGCCTCGAATGTTGAAATTTTGTATATAGGACAGTTACAATATGTAGTTGTGCACCTCCCTTTTTGGTTGCAATCAGTTGCACCAAAAGTATATATATATACATATATCCACTGTTACTTGGCTTGATGAGCTTTTTTTTTTTTTTTTTTTTTAATAATACGTTGATAAATTGCACAATTTTTGGCTTTAAAAATGATCAAATTATGCTGTTCTTACTTCTGGTTAAGGTTTTTATGCCTTTAGTTAACCTTCATGCAACAACTATAGAATTATCAACAATTTAAAAGTTGTTTAAGTGCAGCTAAGCCTATTTTTTTTTTTTTTTTTTTTTTAAACCATAGCAGCTATATTTGTTTATATTTGAAACTTAGCAAAATGGTGGATTTGTTGCCAATCTAGAGAAACTAAGCTTTGTAACAACAAAGATAACATCTTTTATTACTGCAAATTAAATCATGCTTAATTCATTCTGGAATTAATATTTAAGTTATTAAATTATCTCATATATTGACTTAGCATACCGTCCACAACATATTAAAGCAGTTTCTACACTTTCAGTGGCTTTTTGCTAAGTGAGACCAAAAGTAAACTTTCAGTTTTGTGCATAAAAAATCTGGCTTCTTGCCTGCTGGCCGAATTGCTTGTTTTTGCATAGAAACTCTAATTTTAATTGTAAAAGTTGCCCTTCATGTTGTTTTAACTGTATTTATGTTTTATATTATTCCATATTTTTGAATTTTTTAATAAAAGTATTTTGAGTATTTATGTATTTTTGCCTTATTGCAGAGTGAGAACTGAATTAATTGAATGAGAAATATACCTCTAATGATATTCGAGGAAATAAGTTCCAATGAAACACAGTAAAAATGCATGTAATTTAATATTACAAAGAAGGAAGTCATGTGGTGTACACATCAGATTTTTTTAAGACAGGATTGAAAACATTAGTTTGAGAAGAAATACCTTTTAAAAAAGACCAATTAGTACTTCTTTTTGAGGGGAAAGGGAGGAAAATGTACAAAATATTTACTGTTTAGAAAATTTATGTATATGCTCTAACCGAATATATACAGAATTTCTACTATATATGAATTTAGAATTCAGCTGCAGTTACGACATAATATAAAATACATTTATGTTGAAGGAGAAAATAGACTTTAAAAAGCTTTTGTTTTTATATGTAATACACATACTCACATAGAAGCAAATAATATGATAAAAGTGCCGGAAATTGTCCAAAATAAATACACAGTGTTCAACCATGATATAATTAACAGACTTCACATAACTATGTGTGCATGATAAGCAATGGGCTTTTTTTATATCACAGCTATGAAACCTTTAAGACTAGACTTGCATTCACTTTACTATAACAAACATAGTAACACTTTGCACTTTGTTCAAGACATAACTTATTATGCATCACATGACTAGTTCATAGCTATTTTATTTTATAATGCCTATGAAACACAAATGCTATCTAGGTCTCCTATGAGTAAGCTGTAATTTCAAACTTTTTGAAGGCACACGTCGGGTAACAGAAATTTGAACACTACCTACAGCTCGTCTGGGTTGATCCTCTGCTGAGGACACAAACCTGAGATGAGTGCTTGGAGTATAATCTGAATTATATTCTACATAACCTGAAGGAAACAAAAAGGAAAAGAAAAGAAAAAATTTGAAATAAACATTTGAATGCTGAAAAGAGTGAACACAAAGAATGAAGTATTTGATGCTTTTCCATATCAACAATAGGTATACTTTTGTATTACATGCATTAATGAAGTTTATTCTTTAAAAATGATAAAACAAGTTTAAAAAACCCTTTTAATTTTTAAAAATGATATATAATGACAAAACACTTAATTCCCTTGGAAGCTGTGTAACTGATAACAATCATCACTATTTTTCATATATTAAATTTAAATAAGCCCATGTTTCTAACAAGCTTGGAAAAAAAACAAACAATATGTGCATATCACAATAGTTTTCTCCAAGTGTTATGCATATAAGATTCAGTTTCTCACTGAAAGTACTCTACAAAGGTGTATCTCTTCTTAAGCAAATACCTTTCATGAGATATGGCAGAATTACACAAAAATTAAATACTTAGCATTTAAAATTTACAAGGAAATCAAACAGTACAGAAAAAATCCAGCTGCTAATAATGAACAAAAAGAATAAGCACTTCAATATTTTTCCACAAACAGCAGCAGGTTTACTTTTTTTAACTACATATCTTTTAAGAATTTCAAGTACTTTCTGATTATCTGCACAACCATTGAAAAGTTGTGAACTCATTGATGAGTTTTGAGAGCATTCGCAAATTCGTTAATGACTCTGGAAAGAAATGTTTGTTTGGATTTTCTTATACTTATTTCAATGATACACACAGTGCTGCATGTATCTTCTTTTTCCACTGAAGACATAAAAAGTTTTTGGAGGTATATACACCAACTGATAGCTTTGTTTTGTAATAAGCCCAGTTCTTAACAGAATTTCACAGATGTATATTCCTTTGTCCAACAATAAATAGAAAGAGCCTGTATTGCAAATGAGTTACAGTTATCTCCCAACCATTCAAGCAGAATGCTAGATCCACATTCTAACATTTTGCTTGTAAATTTTTCACATTGCATTTCAATAAAATTTGGTTGTTTAAGTAGGGCAATTCACTGAATGCAAATGCTTGCATTCTCTATTTCTGAAAAAACACAATGCTTTCATTAGTTGACCAGCTCCATAGTCCATTACAATTTGTTCAGACAAAAACAAATGCACCCAATATCAAAAGAAAGATTAATCAGAAAAATGACCCCAGAATTTCAAAAGTGCTATTTCATGCATACTCAAATGCAAATAAGGCCAGTGCTAGTTATTTTGATTTCTAGTGCAGTCTGTATGAGTACTAAATTCTACTGCCTAGCACCTCACTAAATTCTAAAAATTTTGCCATCCCTTAATTTCACAGCTTGGTGCTTCTCAAAATTCTAAAAGTTTTGTCACCTCTAAATTCTGTCACACTGATTGCATCAGCTCTGATACCAATCTTGATCACACATGTGCTACACATATACCTGGACTGCCACAAAAATACTTTTTGATAACAATGTATCATTCGCGTCTCAAATACACTCTCAACATGTAGGGCAATCTTTGCTAGGGTCCCCCAGGGTCATCTGCTTGGACCCACTTTATTGAATATTTACATGAACAACATTACCAACACACAGAACACAACACTTGCAATGTATGTGGACGACACTGCGATCCTCACACAAAGTGCATCCATTAACCCAGCAATACAATGATTACAAGACTACATTAACATACTCGAGACTTGGCTGACAAAATGGAAGATCAAAGTTAATGTAGATAAGACTCAAGCAATCCTTTTTACAAAGAAGAACAAATTCAATAAAAACCTTCAATAAAAACTCATGGGACAAGTAAGTCCTTTATCTTGGAGTGATCCAGTAAAACTCTCTCATGGTACCCACACATAACATCTACTCTTAGAAAGTTTCAAGTTAGTAAAGCTACACTTCACCCCTTAATTTCTCGAAAGTGTACTTTCAATAGATAACAAGTCCCATACTATGTTGTTATGCCTAGCTGGTTTGGGCATATTCATGGAAATCTTATAGGAAAAAGTTACAGCAGGCACAAAATTGTGTCCTAAGACAGATCACCAACTCCCCTGGTACGTTCGAAATCAAAAACTTCATGATGAGCATTGAAGAATTGAAATGTTTTTATTGCCGGCTTGCCCAGAATTTTTATGCTAACCACGCAAGTATCAACAATCCTGTTGTAAGGATCTACGATTATGATGTGAATGACCCAAATAATTGTAAACGGCCTATGGAAATACTTAGTACTCATATTTTTAATTTGACTTACTTTATGTGTACTGTACTTTATGACTTATGCTATGCTAGTGCACCAATTGACTCGCACTATCTGTATTGTATGTATGTATTATATGTATCTCTAGACTCAGGTTAAAGCTAGCTCTTTTTCCCTTTCTCAGCTCTCCCAGATGGCATTTTCAGGTCTTTATTGGAACTCGGCGCACACTTTATTTCTGCTAGATTATCTTATTATCCTATTACTCAAAAAATATGATCATAAGTTATAGAACAAAATATTATATCTTATGTTAGTTACTCATGACAGCATTTGAAACAACCTACGTGTTCGAGAAGGGGTAGGATCCTTGACCCAGGCACCCTGGTATTACACCGCTTCTTCATATATACTATTTGTATAGAACCAAATGAAAGACAAGAATATCTTATAACTTAACATGCGATTAAGCATCATACAAACTAAAAGATCTATCAACTGCTTTATAACCTATTATTATTACAGAAAAGTAGAAAATTGTTCATCTTCCTTTTACAATCTAAGCCCCCCTTTTTTTACCATTTTCTTATTATTTAAAAGTAAATACATATTTCTAAAATCTAAAAAGCAAGCTTAGTATATAAAATCAAAAATAGCACACTGTTAAAGGTCTATAATGCTATAGCTGAACTCTATGTATCTCTCTCATTGATGAATTACATTAACTACAATTTGTGTTGCACTAAAATTTTTTTTGAAAGTGATTAGAATATTAAAAATGTATGCATTCAAGGCTTTAATAAATTATCATATTCACTTACGATTCATTTTATTGTAAATTTTACATCTTAAAATTGAGAATAGAAAATTATGTAGTATATACAATTTTTGAACAGATGGCTCACATGAAGAATACAGCACACTAAAAAGCCCATATGAATATACTTACTAATGTTACCATTAAGACACAATAACACGTCAAATAAATACTAATTCAGAAGTCAAACAACAAAAATCAGCGTTATCTTTACAAAATTTTCACAGGACTAGTTACTATGGTTTTATCGAACCACCATCCTCAGCTGCAAAACCGCAAATGGATTTTGCGGTTTTGCAGCTGAGGATGGTGATTTGGTAAAACCATCGAAACTATTCCTGTGAAAATTTTGTACAGATAACGCTGATTTTTGTTGTTTGACTTCTGAATTAGTAATGTTACCATATTCTGCAATTTACAAAAGACTGTTAAAGTTACTAATGTTACTATATTCTGTAATTTACAAAAGACTGTTAAAGTTACTAATTTCAGTAATATTATTTTCTTATATACAGTGCACTTCCAATAATACAATTTCTTGCAGTGCAACCAAAAGATAATTTAAAAAACTGCATTTTTATTATCCCAGCATTTTAAAATTACAGGACCAATACATTGAAATAATTACCTTTTCAGCTAATTTCTCCCCTTTTTTTAAACTCTAATTTTATAGATTGTCTTTCACTCGAGTTTTCAGCAACGTTTCTTTTCTGCATCAGCTGCAAAACTGCAAAATTCATTTGCGGTTTTGCAGCTGAGGATGGTGGTTTGGTAAAACCATCGAAACTAGTCCTGTGAAAATTTTGTAAATATAACGCTGATTTTTGTTGTTTGACTTCTGAATTAGTAATGTTACCATATTCTGCAATTTATAAAAGACTGTTAAAGTTACTAATGTTACTATATTCTGTAATTTACAAAAGACTGTTAAAGTTATTAATGTTACTATATTCTGTAATTTTCAAAAGACTGTTAAAGTTACTAAAATTTACAAAAGACTGTTATTTATTTCAGTAATATTATTTTCTTATATACAGTGCACTTCCAATAATACAATTTCTTGCAGTGCAACCAAAAGATAATTTAAAAAACTGCATTTTTATTATCCCAGCATTCTAAAATTACAGGACCATTACATTGAAATAATTACCTTTTCAGCTAATTTCTCCCCTTTTTTTAAACTTTAATTTTCAGCAACGTTTCTTTTCTTTCTTACTTTTGCTGGTAATTGGGTCCACATTTTGTTCCCTTATTTTGATTTTGCTTTTATTGGTTATTTTCTTTCTTACTGAAATTACTTTTTGGAAACTTAAGTTACCTTTTACTTTCTCATCAGTGTTTTTTTATTTCCACATTTAAAGCTTACATAATTTTTGCCTTTTCCTTAATTTTGGTTTTGCAAATTGTCTTACTCTTAGCAACTGGCACATTCCACCTCTTTGGATTACTAATTTGAGGGGGGGGGAACCCCTCCCAATTGTTTCAAAATTCTCACTTAATATATATATATTTTATATTATGCATATATTTTCATTCAAGTTGCATCAGAATAAGTTACAACTTCATGACTGCTTTTTAAAATTTTTAAAAATACATACAATTTTTTACTAATGCATTCTTATTTAACTATTTTAAATTAAAATTAGAAAAAGTATATCTTTGATTACTTTCCCTGTATTCTTGATTATTTTCCATACACATATAATTCAAAAATGTAGCTCTTTTGATAATTCTTTCAGCTGCTCCTTGACAAAATACAAGAAATTTTCAACTACTATCCATTAATTATTATTTAACATTTAATGATTATTCTTTTTATTTTTTATTAATTTACTTTAATTTCAATTTTGTTTCCCAAGTGTTTTGCTTCTAATTGTTTTTATTTGTGCCTCTCAGTTAAATAAGTTAGTACTCTTTTTTGATATTAATTCTATATTTTCTGTCTTATATATATATATGTCATATTAAAAGCACAAGGAAAAGCCGGAGCAGTGTCGATCTGTGCTTAGATCTACATTGAAGAAGAATTTTGATTGCGTAGTATTTAAAAAACTTGGCAGTCGAGGCAGTTTTAATTCCATTTTTATTGCCAATCGATATTTGTGGCCACAATCACTTGGCACTCCAGTCGTGCCTTTCCCATAGAAGATTTACATTTTTAATATTGTTGGGATAGAAAGCAAGCCAGCGGAATTACATCTTAGCACAGTAGAAGAGGCAAAGCTGAAGTGCATAGTTATGCAAAGATGGAAGCACGCGAAGAGAAACGTTTTGGTTTGCAATTTGGTGATTAATCGTCAAGAGGCATCTGGTATTAAACGGTTTACGTAAGATCGCATGATTAATTTGAATGACGCAATGCAGATAAGTTATTACGATTTTAGAATAGAGAGGAAGAATTTATGTTTATAGTTATATTATAATTCTGATTCATACATTTTTATCTTACATATATATGAAATGTAATTTCTCATACATTATTTGTTTTGTGCAGCGGGGGCAACAGGAATGAGACAAATTTTGGAATATAAAGTGCTAGGTTTATTTTAGCATCCATCTCACAAGCGTTCTTTTCGTACCTTGAGCAGAAGCCCAATTTATACCTATGTGTGCATCACGAGGCTCCTCCAATCAGCGATATTAATTGAAATCATGAGGTGACGCTATCCTCTCAACAGGAGTGTTCCAAAGGACTTTATGTAATATGACAGATTTATGAGTTTGGCGATTTTGCGGGAGCCAACAGGTTAATATATTTTATACTAAAGAAAGGATTTCGCCCAAATTTAGGAACAGGGATGCAATTTAGGTAGAGAATCACCAACACATTATTAAGCAATATTATTAGAATTTAATTTAATCGATTTAAAAATATCATTACATATATATATGTATGTACAAATAAATAAATTATAGTAAATTAAATTTTATTGTATATTTGTTAAAATACAGAATGACAACACAAACATATGAATAAAAATTGTAAGACACATGCTTAAAAAAATTAAATTTTGCATCAAATTGATTTCTGAAAAATATTACCTGAGTTTTTGGGTAATTCACACATTTCACACTTCTCTAATGCAGGGTGATTGGCAAATGTACATTTTTTACACTTCCATCTATTTTTCTCATCATCATCTTCATCATCTAACGGAGAGGCTTGTTTTGCTTGAGTTGATGAACTTTCAGGATTTGATGTCTTTCGTACTAATTTAAACATGCAAATTCAAAATTATTGAAATTAAAAACATAAAATATTTTTAAAAAATCCAGTGATATCTTATTAAATCCTTTTACTATAAATTTTAGAAGTCAATCAAAGAAGAAATTATTTAAGTTATAAAATTAATTAGGCAATTTTTCATTACACTTATACAGATCAATAAATGAAAAGCATGGAGATGTTCTTTAAATTCTAGATGCTTTAAAATATACTACAATGCAGAAATATAAATGCAAACAATCTACACAAGTTAAATAGCATAAATGAAACTATGGTCCTTATTTTTAACATCAATCACAGTACTTGCGTATTAGCAAATATCTGGTGATACACCTAAGCTCACACAAGACCATTAGCAATCCTAATAGCTGTTGAGGGTAATAGTATTGGGGGGGGGGGAAGACAGTGCATCTATTGGAAAAAAACCCTCTTCCACAAGAAATGGCCCATCAATGTCTGAGCGCAAAGTCCATGAACACTGGCAGTTCAGTTTCAGATTCAAATCTCAGTGAATGGGCTGGCTGCAAGGGCATTTCCATGTTTTTTCCCAAGTGTAATGGGTGTATGAGCCAGTTACCTTTAAAAAGTTCTCTATGAAGGAATATCTTCCCTTAGGCAGACAGCCCTTGAGTGCTTTACCATAACCAAATACACCAAACGCATCACAAGAATCAAAATATTTCATCACAGCAATTCAAAATTTAAAGCAATGATGAATGCATCTTTTTATATCAAGGGGATATTTTGGAAGAGTGAGTAAAAGAGGGCAAGAAAACGAACTCTCATTATTACAAAGTTTTGATTAAGCTGACAGAGACTGGGGGACAGGAATCTGTGAAGTAGTTTTTGGTAGGGGGAAATACTCAAATTAAAATGAAGAATATAAGGTGCTACTGTGAAGTAAAATCACAAGTTTTTGCTCTATATTCTTTTTACCTTATAGACGCAAGCGCATATAAGTTATACGTTGAGGCATGCGTGTGATACCTTTACGCATGCGCATAATATGTTTATGCATGTGCGTTTAATGTATAACGGATGGTATAAGCTAAGCTAAAATTATCTAATTATCTATTTCAGTTAATGTTGCAGATTATGTTGTTCCTTAATCTTTTAATTGGATCCGGCTTATTATTTTTTGCAGAGAGCAAATTTATAAAAGTAAGCATGAACTTTCGATTATGTCAAATAGAATTTCCGATGCTGCATACTGTCAAAGGATCTACAAAGCGAAAGCATGTTTCGATGTCCATCGAACAAAAAGTGGAATTGCTATAAAAAATGGATAAAGGCATATCCTTTGTTTCTCTAACCACTCCGAAATCTGTTTATCAATTTCATGCTGCTTTGCGGGGGAGGGGAACGTAGAGGCGCGCAATGAACTGGAAGTTGATCTGTCAGCACTATCCTTATCTTCAGGGCAGATTTTTTTATTTTATTCGGCTTATAGTTCATTACTAAATGTAGTATTTCATCTCGATGTACTCTGATATGATTTAAATTATTTAAATCAAATTCATTATAAATATCACAAATACACATCAAATAGTTTTCTGGTTGCAATTTTCTAATTTTCGCTAAGCGTAATGTATGTTTTATGCATGCGTGCATTGAAAGAAATGTTTAATAAAGTAAACAAATAAATATTAAGCTTTTTTTTGTTTTTTGTACCCTTTTGTTTTTGTTGAATTTTGATACCCTCTAGATCATAATTGTTCTTTATTTCATAAATTACAGTTTCATATTTTTAATTTTATAATTTCTGCATGCCATCTTACCAGATTTAAATTGATGATCTACAATCCGGTGTCACCGAGCTCCCGACGAGTCCGGATTAAAGACTTTTGACTGTATATATATATATATATAATGTTGTATGATCTTAAATTCATTTAGTGTTAAAACAAGTTACTACTACTTGCGCAATTGCTGCAAAGTAAGTTAATAATAATTTATTTTCTAAACAATATTGATTAATTGATTATATTATCTCCTACTTTAATTAAACTTAGGAGATAATATAATCAATTAATCAATATTGTTTAGAAAATTCTAATTCTAATTCTTCTAATTCAGCCTTTATTTTTGTAACCACTTTTCTCAGACATATACTTCCAATTACAAAAATTCTTTAAATGGTGCAAAAATCCATGTTTAGGCATTTTCAAATTTAAAGAAACGATTTTGTAAAAATTAGTCTTCCATGACAAAAACTGATCAAGATAATTCATATAGAAATCAGGAATATTATACTTAGGGGCCATATAAAAATTGAAGGGCTGTATTCGTACTTAACTAAAAATAATAATACTTTAAAAAAAATTTTATGTTAAGAGATTATGTGATAAGATTTGTATGCAGATTATCATTAAAATATTGATCAATATAAATTTTTTTTAAAAAAGGAAATTTGATTTCTAGAATTTTATAGAATTTCTGTTCTATGACATGCTGCAGGCTTCAGTATTGATACACAGCCAACTCGTACTGCATTAATATGGAAGCCAAACTTTCTCTGTTTTATTTTCCATTACTATAACAAAATTTTCCTTAATATAAATAGGGATTAGAGGAATGTATACACAGTTAGATTTCATATTTCTCCCATGAATAACTTTTAAAAATTTAAAAACAGAGAAACCCAAACCTTTGTGCAATTTAAAAACATTTTTGTAACTGGAAGTATTTATCTACAAAAAACGGTTGGGGATTGGGAAAATAAAGACTAGGTAAGGAGTTTTGTGGACATGATGTACATATATATATGCATGTATGTATCACAGAATCATGACAACTTAAAAATTCAAATTTCACCAACCTTGATTTGATGAAGATGCCACAGTACCATTTGGTCCAGTAAAAATATTTTTATAGAAATCCTCATCAGTCATTCCGAGAGGAACTGTAATATGCAAATGATGGAACATTCAATATAAAAAAATGCAGGGCATCAGAATTTCAGAATCGAAAATAACTAAATAAAATTATTTTGAATAATTTTAAAACTAAGCAAACATTTGAGTCAGTTCATAGCAAAGCCAAATATTAACATTACATATATATAAGTTACTTTAGGCTCTTTTTAAATGAGATCAAACATTTATCACACCACCATGTCGGATGGAAATATATGTTATTTATCTCCATTCTTCAGAATTTCATTACTAATTTAGAGTACTTAAAAATAACCCTTTAACTAGAGATTAGAGTTTGAATCCTGAAATCTCTTAAGAATCTTTAAAAGATTCAAGATTTGAAAGTTCAAATCTTTGCACATTTTTTGTCATTCATAGTTTCAGATTTTTAAGCAAAATTCAATGAAATGCTTTACCGAAAAATTTGGAACATAACTTTAAGTTTAAAAAAAAAAAAAAAAAAAAAAAAAAATACTCCAATTTCAGTGGACATCTGTCCCTGGGCACAGCATCCAGGCAGCGCCAAATTGATGCTATGAAATTTTTTAATGAAATGTTTTCCATTCTTGGCACACAGAAAAGGGCGCAAATTCTTCAGTTGTCCCCTGGCGCTTTAACTAGTGTGCTATAAAAAATTCAAGAGTTTTGAGAATTTTTTAGGATTTCGGAAAATTTAAGATTATCCCACCTATACTTTTAACTCTAAGCAATTGTGGATACTGTACAACACAAAAGTCATAATTAGTTAAATAAAAACTACTTTTAAGAACAGAGATACAATAGTTATACACAAATATTTTCCAAATAGAGTAAAGCACATAGTAAAAAAGAATCGTAATTAAAATATACTTTCTAGGCAACTTACTTTGTCCTGGACTGCAAACATCAACCTCCATAAGTAAACAATTGCATTCAACTCTGAGTTTCCTATTTTCTTCCCTTAATTTTTTTAGTTCTTCAGCCTGTATAAACAGGAGAGTTTTGTAAATGTTTTAAAACAGGGGAACAGTTAATAAAATTCAAAAAGTGGAGATATTATCTTACATATGGAAAAGAAGTTTTCTTCATTCTTCTCTGAATTACATCTTGTTCCATTCGATTGACTTCAGCTTTCAATATTGCAGATAATTCTTTTTCTTTTTTTAATTCTTCAATAACCATATTCAGTTGAGCAATCTGATGATTTTTGACAGCTATGCATGGATAATTATTACATAAAAATGAAGGAATTATAATAAAATATCATTAAAATGATATTCCTGTAAAGAAAACAAAAATACAAAAATTGTAAAATTATCCCCACCCCTGGAAAAAGTAAATTATAAAATTATAGTTTATAATACTTTACTTTTTTATTTTTTAATCTTTCTGATATTGAAATGCACTTTAAAATTAATTACTTTCCAGAATTTTTATACGACTGACATATTCATGCCATTTTCCAAGGAATTTATGTATCAGAAAGCTAAGAGATTGCCTGAATAAAAATTTCCATGACTTCACTTTATTTAAGATAGAATGGATGACATGGCAGACATTTAAGATATCATAAATGGCTTTCCAACTTCTCGTACTTCTGAAAATAGGCATGAACAGATGAAATCCTTTTGTACCTCATCATGTTCGTGATTTAAGGGCAACATTACATTGTCACAATTTGTATGATAAACACAGATCAATGAAAAAGACATGCAAGAAGAAGAATACACATGTTCATTCTCTTTGCATGTCTCGTTTGTGATGCAGATCAATGAAAACAAGGGCCAATGTGACTCAAATTTCAACCAAGGTGGATATAGGATTGGGACTCAGTTCCAAACAGTTGAAGGATGCTGACAATTGGCATTCATTGCAAAATGAAGCCAGTGTATGGCAATTAATATATCAAAGGCTGTGCAAATGCTGTATTAACTGTATCATTTGTGAAAGATTTAAAGCTAAGGCTATGTCAAGCGAACCGACACCTCTGCCACCAGACCGAGTTACGGATTGTGTGTCGTTTTAGATTATAGGGACTGATTTGGCTGGACCGCTGCTTTTAAAAAATGAAGGAAAGACGTGGATCGCGCTCTTCACGTGCACTGTGTACCGTACCATTCACCAACTTAAACTTGTAAATTCTCTTTCTACTGATGGCTTTTCTTCTGGCATCAGTAGAAAGAGACAATTTGTTGCTAGGCGCTGACACCCTAAAATAATCTATACTGATAACGGGACAAATTTTCGGGTTGCATCTAACGATTTATCAAAATTAAATTGGGCTAAAGTAATAAAAGAAACGGGAACTGAAAACATACTATGGAAATTTACTCCCCTACTGCAGCTTGGTGGGGCAGTTGGTAGGAAAGGTTGGTTCATTCAGTAAAAGAATTGCTGAAACATACTTTAGGTAGATCAGTGTTATCATATGAAGAACTTTATACTATTATTTGTGATTGTGAAACTATAATTAATTGTAGACCCTTAACGTATGTTCTGAAAATCTGCAGAAATTTGTCCCTCTGACACCCACCATGTTTCTTATCGAGAAGAGAAATTCCAATGTTGAAGATCTTGATGAATTAAATTTGTCAAAAGAGATTAAAGTATAGAATTAAATTGTTAAATGATCTGCAACAACACTTCAGAAAAGAATATGTTAGTCAACTGGTTCAAAAGCATAATGAAAAACGATCTTGGGAACCTGTAGTTGGAGATATAGTACTGATGGAAGATGATAGATGATAACAAAAAATGTTTATTTTGGCCCTTAGCCTGAATACAGAATTGATCCCTGGACGTGATGAAAAGATTCGCATGGTTAAACTTAAAACCCGGCATGGAACAGTTGTACATCCAATAAAATGCATTTTCCCTCTGGAGATACAGGCCAATGACAGAAACATAATTCCTGATAAGAAAGTGGGTGAGGAGGAATCTAATTCTTGTGCTAAATGTACATTAAAAGGGAGAATTGCACCTGTTAAAATGGTAATGCAACAATATTCTTTCTCTGGATGATTTGTAAAAGCTCCAAAAAGACTTGATCTTTTAAATAATGTTTGTTATGAGCTTGAGACTCAACCTGAGTCTCAAGGGGGAGAGCATGTTGTGAAATGAACTGAAGTAATAACTGGTGCGCTGCACTGCTGTTCATGATATCAGCCTGTGTGCTGAATATTTTGAATTTTTTCCTGTAGACAGAACTGAAAACTGATCTCAGAAGAGAAAAAGACTGTTACGATGAAAATAAAGAAGTGTTGCCTTATTAAGATTTTTTTGTATTTTTATAATGCACCCAGCCTCAGGTAGAGGCAGCCCGCAATTGAATGAACTGTTTTCAATGTACAGTCAAAAGTCGTTAATCCGGACTCGTCGGGACTTCGGCGATTCCGGATTATCGATTTTTCCGGATTATAGATCATCAGTTTAAATCTGGTAAAATGGCATACAGAAATTATAAAATTAAAAATATGAAATGGTAATTTACGAAATAAAGAACAATTATGATCTAAAGGGTATCAAAATTTACAAAAAAAAAAGCTTAATATTTATTTGTTTATTTTATTAAACATTTCTTTCAATGTAAGTTGTTTCAGTTGCTTCGTTTTTTATGTGATAATACATTCTCTTTAATTCTATAAATAGACATAATTTCTTGTTCAGTTACAAAGTTCCGCTGTTAAAGTTCTATAATTGCTGTGTCGAGAATACAGACTAATTCGTCAATCGAAATTTTTTCATTTTCAATAACCTATGTCACTTTGCTATCGGAAGCAAATTATAATGACGAGGCATTTGATTTAAATCATATCAAAGACAGAGTACATCGAGATGAAATACTACATTAAGTAAGCAATTATAAGCCAAATAAAATAAAAACATCTGCCCTTAAGATAAGGATAGTGCTGACAAATCAACTTCCAATTCATTGCACGCCGCCACGGCGTTAAAGATAAACAAAAAATATGCCTTTATCCATTTTTTGCAGAAATTCCACTTTTTGTTTAATGGAATCCGAAAGATACTTTCGCTTTGTATATCCTTTACATATTAGTAAATATATATCAGAAATTCTATTTGACATAATCGAAAGTTCAAGCTTACTTTTATAAAATTGCTCTAACAGTCTGCAAAAAATAATAATCTGGATCCAATTCGAAGATTAAGGAACAACGCAATCTGCAATATTAACTGAAATAGATAATTAGATAATTTTAGCTTAGCTTATCCCATCTGTTATACATTAAAGGCGCATTCGTAAACGTATTTTGCGCACGCGCAAATTCGCAGCGGTAAAGGTCGTCAACGCGACGCATGTGCAGAAAGTTTGTAGCTTTGAGGTCCGGATTATAGATCATTCCGAAAAGAAAGAAATTCATTAAGAAATTGAAGGAAGCCAATCTAAACTTAAGTCCTCTTAAATCCTCAGATAGGAAGTGACCTTGGACATATAATTTCTGCCGAAGGTGTCTAGGCTATTAAATTTCAAGAATCCTGAAAGCAACTACCCAGGTGGATACAAAGGGTCCAAGAATATTATATCACTATCTGTCATCAGAAAGGATCATCAGAGGGGAATGCTGATGCCCTGTCTAGAAGATCCAGTTCAAAAAGCTCTGATATTGTTCCAGAGTCAAAGCAAAATATGAGCTGCCTAATTCAGTTGTACATAAAGTTAGAAATTCAACATCATCTAACCCAGACACCCATGTAGTGGTGAAGAAGTAAGAAAAGACCAAATGGAAGACAGTGACATTAAAGTCTTAACTGACTTAATGAAGTCCTACATGGAGATACATTTTGATCTACAGTCCCACCTTTTTGTCCATATTCGTACTGAAGTCTTTTACCAGAAGTTCAAATTGGATGATGGAAAGGCATTCCGATGACAGCTAATACTTCCAAGATCCCAGAATCCAGACATCCTTAAAGAGCAACATAGCAATCCAACGGGAGGCCACTTCGGAATAATGAAGATGCTGCAAATAGTTTGAGAGCACTTCTACTGAAGTACTGCAAGAGCTGATGTACAGAAGTGGTGCCAATCTTGTGATTCCTGTGCATGTCAGAAAGGGTCGAAGAAATGCAGCCGAGAGAAGCTGCAACGTTATAGTGTGGGAGTGCCTTTTGAACAAATCGCCTTAAACAATCTAGGACTTCTGCCATGAAATGCTGATGGCAATAAACATATCCTCGTTGACATTGAATTGATTGAATTCTTCACAATGTGGACAGAAATGTATCTTATCCTTGATCACAAAACTGTCATGGAAGAGAGCTAATAATACAGCACTTTATTTCCAGACCACGAGTGACTCTTTCGTTAAATTCTGATCAAGGAAGGAATTTTATCTTCTGTAATTAAAGAACTCTGTCATCTACTCAGCGTAGAAAAAGCCCAAAAGATACCTTTACATTCATAACTAGATGACAGGGTGAAGAGTTTAATTGAGCAATCCTAAGTAACCTCTCTCTGATGGTTTCAAGAAACCAACAGGACTGGGATAGAAGTTACCACTGTTCTTACTGGCTTATCGCAATGCTGTCCACGAGACTACCGATGGCTATTGCCGATCCCAGATGCTCTTCGGTTATGACCTTAATTTGCCTTATAATTTTGTTACGAAATGTACAGGCGCGGTGAGATGGCTTCCCCGCAAAGCAGTTTTAGGGTTGCCACATTTGGCAAGAAATCGTCCATTTGGCGACATCTGGTGATATATCATGGACGGATGGAGAACCTTCTGGAACGAATTCTTACCGGTTTAGCCCAGAATGTTCTCGAACACAAGCCGAAAGCTATATAAACCCTTCTGGTCTGCAGTCAGTGTGCATGTGTGCCTCGTCTAGCGAGCTGATAGTCAATCATTGAGCGAGTGTCTCAAAATCTAGCGCCGAGGTGGTCGTCGATTGCATCAAGAGAGTCTTTTAGTATGTAGCGAATTAGTGCATCGTCGAGTTTTTGTCTTAGACTGTGCTGATTTGAGAGCTATACTCTTGTGTATCATTAAGTGCATTGCGTGGAGAGTCTCGAGAGTACGTAGAGTTCTGAGAACAACCAAGCAGAGTTGGGAGCTGTACTCAAGTGCTTTGCAGTGAAGCTGTCTTCCCCGTTATTGCCTGACAGTGTAAGGCTGTATCGCTGATCGTGTCAGCGTTTTTATAACAGTTCGACAACTGTAAAAGTGATATTGGAGCTATCTGATTAATATCAGTAAATAAAGTGTGTTTCCATACTTCATCAAGTATCGTCGTTACTCACTCCAAATCTACGAACCCCGTAACAACTGGTGTCAGAAGAAAGAAAAACGTAACAATATATTGTTTGGTTACCCTCCAGATGCACCTTCATCGCCTAAAGAGTACATTCAAGATCTCTAGGCATGGTTTGAAGTCATGCACAATTTTGCATGAGAGTTAACTTGGTGACAGAGAAGATGAAGACCTGACACGACATGAAAGCTACAGAGCATCGATTCAACAAAGGTGACGAGGTGTGATTATGGAATCCGATTCCAGAGAAAGGAGTTTCTCCTAAATTACATTTATAATGGGACAGTTCTTACACAATCCTAAACAAGCTGAACAATGTCCTACTTTTCAGTCACCAAATTCAAAGGTTACAGTCATTTATTACTATAAGCTAGCCCCTAACATGGCCATGGTACACAGTCCACATAACATATATGATATAAATAGTATAATAAGACCATGGTCCTATGTACGTATAAAGTTTGTGCCTTTGTAATTCTTGATTTAGTATTTGATTTGTTGTTTAGTGCAATTATTTTATCAATTTTTCTTAATTGTAAGTATGACTTCCTGTCCAGGGATTGTACTGCTTGGAACTCACAATTCTTGGGATAAAGGCAATGTTACAAATTTTGTATACATGTAGATGATTTCAGTGAAATTATACATAAAATTGTAGTATCTCTTTTATAGCGTAATAGGACAAGCCTCAAGAGAGTGAAGCTTCGCCCGAAAAATCTGGTGGCCATTTATAATTTATGTTCATTTGGCTATCTCACCAAATTTCTGAGATAGCCAAATGAACCTAACCTTGGTGCTATCTCACCAAATTGGTGAGATAAACCCTGCTGTTATTCCTTTCTCTTATACTTTAATTTGTAAAGTTCTGGCTCATCTAAAAAAGTTATAAAAGATTGTATGCTTTTTTTTTATGTTATTCCTGTTAAAATTACATGCTTGTTTTAGCATGTTATTTAGGTAATGGATGAGCTGCTTTTAGTATCACAGAGCACAATCAGTAAACTGCTTCAAACTATTAAGAATTTTAAATGTATTTAGCACAGTGTAAGCACGTCTAATGAGTCAAGCTTATGCAGAGATCTTTCAATGCTCTAAAGTCTGTTCTGAACTAAAAACTGAGAACTAAAAACTGAAACACCAAATTGGTGAGATAGCACCAAGTTAGCATTGGTTATGGCATTTGATTTTTATTACCAAAATTAACAAGAAATGGCTGAATTTCACCAAACATGGCCACCATTTGGTCCAGCCCGTGTAACTTACAAAAGGTCCTATTAATATGTAACTGTAATCATATCCTTTCAGTAATTTTGTGAAATTGAAGGAACTTCAAATTTCTGAGCAACCCAGGGAAAACTATATAAGACTGGAGAGAGCATCAGTTCTCAGTTTTTAGTTCAGAACAGACTTTAGAGCATTGAAAGATCTCCGTATAAGCTTGACTCATTAGACGTGCTTACACTGTGCTAAATACATTTAAAATTCTTAATAGTTTGAAGCAGTTTACTGATAGTGCTCTGTGATACTAAAAGCAGCTCATCCATGACCTAAATAACATGCTAAAACAAGCATGTAATTTTAACAGGAATAACATAAAAAAAAAGCATACAATCTTTTATAACCTTTTTAGATAAGCCAGAACTTTACAAATTAAAGTATAAGAGAAAGGAATAATCAAAAGAAATAAAGCAGAGTTAAGAGAAAAGAATAATCAAATAAAGTAAAAATAAAACAAGTGACACATATCTTCTAACAGCTCTTTGAGGGGGGTACTTATGAGATAATGCACCACAATACTCATTATTGAATTATATAATGAACAATATAATAATGCCAAAAATTAAATTCAAAACAACACGTTCATATAATTTTCACATAAACTAAATAACTGTTTTTTAATATAATCTAACACTTACATGGCTATTAAAAGGAAAAAAAAAAGATAGTACAATCAAAAGTCGTTAATTCGGACACCCATAATCCGGACCTCAAAGCTACAAACTTTCTGCGAATGTGTCGGGTTGATGCATGCGCGCAAGACCTTCACAGCTGTGAATACGCATGTGCGCCTGCGCAAAATACGTTTACGAATGCGCGTTTAATGTATAATGGACGGTATAAGCTAAACTAAAATTATCTAATTCAGTTAATGTTGCAGATTGCGTTGTTCCTTAATCTTCGAATTGGATTCGGCTTATTATTTTTTGCAGACTGTTAGAGCAATTTTATAAAAGTAAGCTTGAACTTTCGATTATGTCAAATAGAATTTCTGATATATATTTACTAATATGTAAAAGATCTACAAAGCAAAAGTATGTTTCGAAGTCCATTAAACAAAAAATGGAATTGCTGCAAAAAATGGATAAAGGCATATCCTTTGTTTATCTAAACTTTAACGTTTGTTTATCTAAACTTTGTTTATCTTTAACCCTGCGGCGGTGCGCAATGAATTGGAAGTTGATCTGTCAGCACTATCCTTATCTTCAGGGCAGATGTTTTTATTTTATTTGGCTTATAATTCCTTACTAAATGTAGTATTTCATCTCGATGTACTCCGTCTTTGATATGATTTAAATCAAATGCCTCATCATTATAATTCGCTTCCGGTAGCGAAGAAAGTGACAGAGGTTATTGAAAACGAAAATATTTCGATTGACAAATTAGTCAGTATTCTCTTCACAGCAATTATAGGACTTGAACAGTGGAACTTCGTAACTGAACAAGAAATTATGTCTGTTTATAGAATTAAAGAGAATGTATTATCACATAAAAAACGAAGCAACTTAAACAACTTACATTAAAAGAAATGTTTAATAAAGTAAACAAATAAATATTAACCTTTTTTTTTTTTTTTTTTTTTTGTAAATTTTGATACCCTTTAGATCATAATTGTTCTTTATTTCATAAATTACGGTTTTATATTTTTAATTTTATAATTTCTGCATGCTATCTTACCAGATTTAAACTGATGATCTATAATCCGGAATCGCCGAAGTCCCGACGAGTCCGGATTAACAACTTTTGACTGTATTAGAATAACCATAATTTTTTTGTTATTTTTTGTTTTTAACTTAACGATAATTCGACAATATTTTTGTTAGCTTTTTGAACACATTCTCCTTCTTCTCCTCCAAATTTTAGTTTTGCTTAATATTAGTTAATAGAATATTATATGACTTACAATTATCATAACATTTTAAAACATTATAATTGGTAATTTAGTGGATTATTACCTTGTATATAATCAGGTGATGCATGGTAACCATGAGGAACATTCAGTTTATCTTGAAAATGCTCAACTGGAAAATGTAATTGGGACTGAAAGTCTGTACTCTGAGGACACTTGGAGTATAACACATTGCCTGTTTGTTTAGGATAGGTCTCTGCATCTAAAGAATCCATTGTTCCCAATAAAACAGCTTTTGAAGGTGAAGCTGATGTTTGCAATATCCTATTATTATACGGATATCTCTTGGAATTCTGAGTTTGACTAGATAGTTGAGATAAATTCTGGTCAACTGGCTCTGCCGAAGAAACCTTTGAAGTATAGTTTTGTGAAGCAGCTGGTCGTTGAAGTCTCAATGCAGTAAAAGTAGCCCCTTGGGAATCGACTGATATTTGAACATGGGATCCATAATCTTGGAAGTTGCCAGGATCTCCAATGTTAGTAGGAACCGTTGATATCTCAAGAGGATATTGATTTGATGACTGTGGTTGAAGTTGGAAATTCAGAGAGGTCGTGTGCCGACCAGGTCTAGACGAATGTGAAGCCGTGGCACAAACTGGACTGTTGTATACATTAATTTGGTGCTGCTGCTGAGAAAAAGGGAATGAAGGTGTGATGCTTAATTTCACAGCATGTCTTTTCCTTTGTTCTGTTTCAGGTGATACTGATGCAGAATCACTTGGTCTTGAAGTATCAACAGGTAAAATTGTATGTTCTTTTGTAGTAGAAAACATCATACGATTATAATTATCATGTTCAACAGGCATCTGGCACAATGTTGTATGACTAGAAACTGGTATGTGCCTGTACATATCTGTAAAAGGCTGTTCATGTTCTGCTATGACTGGAGCTGAACGTGCTTCAGGTTTTAAAGGCACATTGATATTTTCAGATTTCCTAGGTAAATGGACTACACCAGCATGGCTAGTACTTCGCCCAGAAGTAGGTTGCTGGATATCTGAATATTGTTGATGTTCGTTGCTTTTCTTGGAGACATTAGGTAATAAACTTCTGTTTTGGAATTTAGAAGAACTAAAGAGAGTAGGATATTCATTCGCATCAAAATATGTTCTCCCATAATCACTTTTTTTAGGAAGTGTTTTACTTTCTGGTAAACGGAAGTCTGAAAAAGGCTGGCTTGGGTGAAAATGATTTTCACTTTCTTTTCGAAGAAGGTCAATGCACTTATCTTGGTCTTGTGCATACTAAAAGAAAAATTGCAATTAGAAAGCAAGTAAACAAGTCTGAAAACTGAATAACAAGATTAAATTTTAAGAGATGAATATCTAAAATTTATATGTCAATGTTCTTTTTAACAGCTTGTAGAGTTCCTCACTTTGTAAATGCTAAGTTACTGTTGAACTTGAGGAATCTTAAGAATTGATAAGCGAATAATCGCTTGAGTTTGTGTGACAGGAAACAACAAGATGGAAGGGTAAAATAACCTATTATTATTCAAATAAGATTTAACAGAGCTCCGTCTTGGAGTGTACAATAAAAGCCAATACTTGGGCTTAAGAGGCTATAGACTGCAAAGCTATCAAGGGCCTAAAGTATGGCCGAGCGTAATAATAGCTTAAAGTGTATTTAATTACGGCAAAGCACACGAGGGCTATCTGCCTAAGGGGAGGGATGCCTTCGTGGAGGACTTTCTAAGGGAAACTGGCTCGTATACACGTTACACATGGGGAAAACCACGAAAACACCCATGCAGCCAGCCCGTTCGCGGGATTCGAACCTCGGACCGAACTACCAGTGTTCAGCGACTTTAACGCTCGGCCGCTGGTAGGCTATAATAGCTTAAGAGAGAGTAGCCTAAAAAGACGGATATGTGCAGACAGGATGCCTGGTAACTCTCTCACTAAGACTGAAGAACTTCGTGGTTAATACTGCTCTTCCTCATTATATATTCAGACGTGATTCTAAAACTATGTTCTGGCCGGAAGTAGTAAGCTGAAGTTAAGAATCGACAGGAAAGGAAGTTTAACTCGAAATTTAACTGTTAATAAAATCAACATAATCCTTATAAGCTTATTAATACTACTTTATCAAAAATATTTAATTACTATATTTTTCAATTCTAATTCGCCATCTATTGTAAGATGTCTATCTACACACTTCTTATTATCAGTAGTTATAAAATGCTAAAACATATCTAATAAATTTTATTTTAATAATCAATATCAATTTATTAATAACCTTAGCATTGTTATTTTTTTATTTAATTTGCAGTTTTTGGGTAACAAAATATGGCTTTAAAAAATCTAGAAATCTACTCATGCTTACATGAAAGAAAAAAGATGCATTTTGAAAAGAAAGATATAGTGTCTAACGAATGTTCATATGCCATTACCAACAGGATGATTATTTAACAATGTAAATTCACAGTGAAATGCAAAAAAATATCTAGGCAAGAATCTGCTCATAGGATAATATAGTTTAACATAAAAATGCATATTTATTTTAACATTATTTTTAGAGAAAGTCTTATTATTTAATTAATAATTAGCACAAAATTATGGCTTCAAAGTAACTAATAATTAGACAAAATCTGAGATTTGAAGACTCATAAATTCCATTTTTATTGATTTTTCTAGTGCAGTTTCAGGATTAAATGAAAATTCACATCTCACCGTTATTAGGAATATTATTTAATCATGTAAGTATATAATGAGATGCAAAAAGTCACTGATAAAATTTTTCATATAGTTCTGCGTAATTAATTTACCATTATTTACATGCAAAGGATAAATACAAACAAACAAACAAAAAACTGCAATTATTATTATTCTTATCATATATTTTCATAAATATATATGAATACTGTATTTATCCATCTAATGGCAGATTTTTAGCCTCATGGGATACATTTTTAGATGGGATACATTCATTGCAATTATTTATAATGTCAAGATATTTTACTACATTACTGTTTAGCACAACATACCATTAAGACAAAACTGTACATCTATCAATTATATATTTTGCTGAATTTTTTATTTTGAGGATGGCTTATTATCAATACGATAAATTCTTGTCACTATTCCTATAAATGATGCCACTTTATTTTGTTAACACAGAAGAAGTTAAACAAGTCTCTTTTACAGAGAAGTGAGTCAATTATTCTTCAGGTTAATATATATTAAAAGTGCATTTCTTAAATAACATTTTGATGTTACTAGTATTAAATTTGTTACTTACAAGAAACACATAATTTCGTAGAGTGTCTTCTGGCAAGTCAGGAAACGTTTTTTTCATTTCCAGGAACAGATGCATGTTGGCAATGTCCCTACTTGCCATTGTCACTTACAATAACCTTCAACATAGTAGAATACTAATGCTGCACCTTAAAGAAAAATAACCTATATTACAAAAGTCATTCTAAAAATGAATGATGTATAAAAATAATAAATCATTTATGAATATAAAAATTTAGAAAAACAGAAACAAAAAGTTAGCACTACTTTTTGATTAATGAGGTGCTAGTTGTCACCAAATGTAAATGTTGGCATGAAATTTAACTAGATACTTAATGAAATGATGAAATAAATATACAGCCTCATTAAAAAGATGGCTATTTTATTAAATGCACAATAAATACAAAAATAAAGAGAAATACAGTCAAAAGTCGTTAATCCGGACTCGTCGGGACTTCGGCGATTTTTCCCATTATCGATTTTTCCGGATTATAGATCATCAGTTTAAATCTGGTAAGATGGCATGCAGAAATTATAAAATTAAAAATATGAAACCGTAATTTATGAAATAAGGAACAATTATGATCTAAAGGGTATCAAAATTTACACACACACACACACACACACACACACACACAAAAAAAAAAAAAAAACACTTAATATTTATTTGTTTACTTTATTAAACATTTCTTTCAATGTAAGTTGTTTAAGTTGCTTCGTTTTATATGATATACTTTCTCTTTAATTCTATAAACAGACATAATTTCTTCTTCAGTTACAAAGTTCCGCTGTTCAAGTCCTATAATTGCTGCGTCGAGAATACCAACTAATTTGTCAATCGAAATTTTTTCGTTTTCAATAACCTCTGTGTCACTTTCTACACGATCGGAAGTGAATTATAATGACAAGGAATTTGATTTAAATCATATCAAAGATGGAATACATCGAGATGAAATACTACATTTAGTAAGGAATTATAAGCCAAATAAAATGAAAACATCTGCCCTGAAGATAAGGATAGTGCTGACAGATCAAATTCCAATTCATTGCGTGCCGCAGCGTTTCCCTCCCTCCGCAGCAGAGCAGCGTGAAATTGATAACATATTTCGGAATGATTAGATAATCAAAGGATATGCCTTTATCCATTTTTTGCAGCAATTCCACTTTCTGTTTAATGGACTTCGAAACATACTTTCGCTTTGTAGGTCCTTTACATATTAGTAAATATATATCGGAAATTCTATTTGACATAATCGAAAGTTCAAGCTTACTTTTATAAAATTGCTCTAACAGTCTGCAAAAAATAATGAGCCGGATCCAATTCGAAGATTAAGGAACAACGCAATCTGCAACATTAACTGAATTAGATAATTTTAGCTTAGCTTATACCGTCCGTTATACATTAAACGTGCATGCGTAAACGTATTATGCGCATGCGCACACGCATATTCGCAGCCGTAAAGGTCTTACACGCACGCCAAATACCTATGCGCGTGCGTCAACACGACGCGTGCGCAGAAAGTTTGTAGCTTTGAGGTCCGGATTATAGATCATTCTGGATTATGGGTGTCCGAATTAACGACTTTTGACTGTAAAACTCTATACAATTATTTCAACCAACAGTTCTACATTGATTTATTTGCATTTGATCAAATTCTGTAAACACAAACTCTTTGCGTCAGAAGTAAATGAATAGCATAGCTGTCATGAAACAAAGAGCAAACCTTCCAACCACTCTGAAAAAGTTTTTTCTTGCTCTATCCTTCATTCCAGAAGTACTTCAGTAGCAGTAAAATGCAGTTTCATCTTGGAACACTTTCAGTATGGTTGATACTTCTGTCTTGGAAGAATTTAACCTTTCTATTCACCATTTAACAATTCCAAATCATGTAATAAATAATGATTCCTTCATTATATATCTTTTAGCAATTGAAAATCTAAAAGGAAAAATTACTAGATTGATGTATGTTTTTCCTACTCATTCATTTGCAATGAACATCATAGCATAACTACTCATGAAGTGAAATAAATAGGTTACCGCATGAGGTGTTTTAGCACACAACTATAACTGGCACTCCATTAACCAAAAAGTATCAAGTTAATAATATTATAACTAACAAAATAATTTGATGTATCTAGATACCATCATTTTGATGTTTCTAGTCACCTAACTATCAAAATTTGATGTCTCTAGGTACCGTCGTTTTTTCACAATGCGAGAATCATACACACATTCATGCAGTTTCTTCATTATTTAATTTCTTCAACACAGAGCAATAATATTTGGTGGCAACAGTTTGAAAAGTGATTCAGAGTTTTATACTGAACAAACACAAAATGTCTAAACGGAATTAATAGCCCTTTTGGGCTAAATGCCCTTTGGGCTAAAAATTACACATATCATCAGATTTACAGTTTGATAATTAAATGATTTATTTTCCACCTAAAACTTTAGAAAAGTGGGTTTTTCTAAGTATCCAAAATGAATATGTAAAATTTTAATGATACATGAAGAGACTTAAAAATTGCTAAAATTTTGTGTTAATTACACGTGAAACAGGCTACCTATTCATAGAACATTTCCATCTTTTAAGTAATCTTCTCTTCCACCCCCAGCAGGATAATGGCATTTAATTAGATTTTGACATATTCTTTAAAGTGAAATTTGCCATAAATTAGCAGGTTCATCCTTAGACTTTAGGAAGGTTAGTTATTGAACATTTCTCCCCTCAGTAAATGAAAATAATATTTATAGGGTTATAAAAATCAGTATAAATAATAAAAACAAAAAATAAAAAAGTTATACAAATTCTTATTCATTTAAAATAGGAAGTCCAACCTTTATGACCATTTTTAGTATATAATTATAAGCACACTCTAATTAGTATGTTACACACCTGTGTGCCAATATGGCTGGGAACCATATTGTACAGAACTTGGACACAAATTTGCAGTCAAAATAATTTGTTCAAATTTTTTAATTTGCTTTTCATTTGTTAATTATTATTCAACTATCTATTTTTACAAAACGAAACTGATGAGTATTAGAATCCAAGAGCTTGATATTAAATTTACAAAGATTTCTCCCCAAAGCATGTTTGGTTTGTGTGATTATGCAAAGCCTCGAGGGCTATCGGCCTAAGGGAAGGGATGCCTTCATGGAGGACTTTTTAAGAGAAACTGGCATTATTACACATGGGGAAAACCATGAAATCCGCCATGCAGCCAGCCTGTTCACGGGATTTGAACCTCGGACCGAATTACCAGTATTCAGTGACTTAACCAGTAGGCCAATGATGGGCCTTCCCCAGTGCAGCAAACATTAGGTTTCTGTGTCACATAAAATTCATGATATGGAGAATGTAATTAAAGACGTTTCTTCACAGGAGTAGGAAAAAATTCTAATGACACATATCAGATTTTATATCAAATTAAATTCTGAAACATAACATCGAGCATGTAGCTAAAAATTTTTCTGCAGTGGGGCAGAGAAGAATTATTTGACCACAGTCTCCAGATCATGAATTTTATTTGACACAAAATTATGTTTCCCATATGATAACACAACCACATGTGTATAATTTTAATTATTTTAAACTCTTGAAGTTAACACATCTGAATGGATGTATAATCATGTTCTCAATTTCACATATCTATGCATTACAGAAGTGTATACTTTCTTGGCTTCAATTATTACTCTGATTTAAAGACAGCTTTTCAGAAAAGATCTATGAGAGAAAGCATTACTATATTAATCAAAACATAATAAGAAGATTAACAAATATTAGAGATAATATTAAGAATCTAATGCAAAATTCTATGCTTCAACTTTCCAGAAAGAAAAACCACAATTTAATAAATTGTCAAAAAATGGCTAAAAATTTCCAATTTTTTATGCAACTTTTCCCGAAAATAAACCAATTCAAAAGCCATCTTTAAGTTCCAAATGTGCATTGTTTATATAAAGTTGAGATTAGAAATTATCCTTACTTCAAATAATGCGATGGAAAAGACAGTTTCAAACCTTTTTTTGAAAAAAACTTTTGTGTTTGGAAACAAAGCTTAAAGTATGAATATTTGCTTGAATAATATTGAATGCTTTACAAACAAATCTCAAATTACAAGATTTAAATTATTTCTTAATATTAGGAGTTTTAGTCATGGAATAAGGTGACATCAAATACTCTTGTTTGTTCTTTCTTTTAAAATAAAAGAAGTATTTTTAACTAGAAAGTGCAATCGTATGTTATTCTTGCTAAATTACTGCCAGGGAAGAGGAATTTACAGACAGCTTTTATAGTGATCAATGTTGATTTATAAACATTTGGAGTACAGTGTATGATAATGAAGAAAGCAGTGGATCTGAAACTGATAATGAAGAAATACACTAAATCATGATCATGGACATTTTCTCCCGATATATGAACTACAGAATATTTCTAATGAAATATAAAACTACATGACAATTTATCAGGTAAACTGAATTTCTTAAAATTTTATCATGACATTATATATATATATATATATATATATATATTATTATATTTATTTTTTTTTTTTTTTACAAAATCTTCAAACTGAAATCAGTAAAAGTTGTGGCAAAACATAAATTTTGAGCTTCTTTGCATATTTGCATGCATTTATACATCTAAAAAAAATTAATAATTTCATACCCATTCCTGAACAGTAATTTAAATCCACACTGATTATATATATAATAATAAATTAACCAATGAAAAACTGGCAGCTAAATCCATCACTTAATTACAGTTCACAAATTGATTTCCTGCATCATTAGGGATGCAGGAAATTTCCAACAAAGCTCCTGATAGATTTTCCTATTTACTTCAAAGAAGACTAATACACTGGAGGATAACAACTGTTGACGCTAATGGAAACAGTTCACAATGAATCAGATTTTGTATTATACAGACATGTTCTTAAAGTAATTCACCTAATGAGATATAACAGCTTATCTACCGCATTTTAAAGTTAATTTACTGAAAAGAAATCGATTTTTTTACATCTTTCTGTATTAACTTTTTATTATCAGTAACTTTACGAAGTTCTCCAGAAAATAAAAAATGTATTGCAAATTAGCTTCACTAGGAAACTAATTTCTTCATGAATCCCGAAAACTAAAAATCAT